AGTGAGGGGGGGAGGGGAAGGGGCAGGGAGGAAGAGGGGGAGGGGGGAGAAGCACCAATGCGAGAGAGAAACGTTAATCGTTGCCTTCTCATACATCCCCTGACCAGGGATCAAACCCACAACCTTCTGGTGTAAGAGACGACCCTCTAACCAACTGAGCCACACCGGCCAGGCAATACAAGTAGATTTTTAATAATAACTTTATACACATACACCCTTCAAACTTTATTTGTAAGTAGCTTATAGAAAAACATAACGTACAACATAGTAAAAAAAAGTAGACGAGAAAAGTGGCAAAGGTGAAGTCAGAGTGAATCCATAAGCCAGTGCGTGCCATAAGATCTTATACATTTCCTATACGTACACTGCAGAATCTCAGAAGCAAAAGGCAATTATAGCTAACCTTAACTTATTAGAAAGCTAGACTTGTTCTTTCCTTTACATGAATTAATTCATATAACTCTCAAAATAACCCTATAAGATAGTTAATATTTTTATCCCCATTTTACAGATGAAAACACTGAAAGGTTAAGAAAACTGCCCAAAGCCAGACAGCTAATAAGAACAAGAATCAAATCCTAGAGCTTGGGATCTTAACCACTGTACAGCCTCTCTAAACAAAGAGAAACAAAGAGTTATAACAGTTATAATAAACGTGATTTTAAAAATCCTGATGAGCTCTTGGGGTTCTGGGGCCTGAGAGAAATTTCTTCCATGGGTCTTTGTGAAAGATGTAAGAAGCAAATGTGTCATGCAATAGACTAGACCCTGACTTAGCCTCCCCTCCACTAATGCAACAGAGATTTGTACAACAGCATGGAAAGAAAGAACGAATATAATGTTTGCTCAAATATAAAAGTCACAACATTTTACACATGAAAGGAACTTCAGAGATCATCTACTTGTTGACCTGAAACCACAGAGGATGGGTGTCCTTTACATTCTTGGTTAGGTTTAAGTATCTTTTTGAAAATCCCCAGAGAATCGTGCAACTTCAACTACGAAGTCCATACCTGAAATGTGTTTCTTTAAATAACTCCACCATAAACAAATGAGCCCTCCCTATACTTCTGCACTCCCTATGGACGTGAGATAGGCAGCAACATGGCTTAAAATGCTCAAGTTCAGCCAATGGCTAAAAGGAAATTCCCCTTCTTGAACTTTCAAAACACTCCATACACTCACTTCTCTCTGCCAGACAGACTTCAAGTCCCCTCACCTGCAATCTGTGAAAACTTGTCTAAATAAGCAACAGCCTGAGGCTTCTCAAAGGTCTGCAAACTCCCAATCAAAATTACTGCTGCCCCATCAATGTGTCATATAAATGCTGGCATGTTAATTGTGTATTTATAAGATTGTTAATGGTTAGTTAATTTACCTCCCACACTATTATTGTACTTGAAATGATTTAACGTCTGCTGAGGGAGTTAACAACATGTAACAGCAGATGCGAGATTTTTTTTTTTTTACCTTTCCACACTGTACCCCGACTTCATGCTATTAGCATTAGGCAAGTTAAATGTGATTCCTATACAGGATTCCTTAAGAGTGTGATAGAAGTATGCACACTTATTTTGTACAAATAGGAATGATTGCAGTTAGAAATACAAAAGCCTTTTTATAATATGCAAAGTCTTCCATTTATAAAAACCAACAGACCTTGTTTTTAAGATTTTAGCATTCTTCAATCTAGTTAAAGTTCAGAATTCATATCTCCTAGAATTTGAAAATAATTGAAATGACCATTAAAATAAAATGCACCTTATTGCTTTTAAATCTCTTTTTCTAGCTCTCTCCAATTTAACTCTAAATTAAATCTTCATTTATTTTTTAGACCAGCAAAAAATTAAGCTTTTTCCCCCTCCGGGAATTAAAATCTTTTCTATGTGAGTATGTCTAATTTCATTACACAGTAAATAGTGAGATCCTATATCTGGAGTTTAATTTTTCCTTTCACATTTTTACTTCTGTGTTTTAACTAAAGGTACTTACTAGATTAAATCAAAACAACAAAAAAGAAATGCTTGTATCTTCTTTTGAATAATATGAGATTCATTCACTAAACATCACTGACAGCGAGGTACTGGGAATCTTACAAAAAATTATATGAACACTGGCCTGCACCCTCCAGAGGCTTACAGACTTCAGCAGATAAGCTATGTCCTGTACTGACATAACAGCAACATAAGACAATACATATTAACCACCAAATGAGATACAAAGACAATATGCTTTCCAAGAGACAAAAAAACTACAGAAGGCTTCAGGAAGGAAGAGGGTCCCATTTAAGGATGGCTAAACTTTCATTAGGCAGAATCACAGAGAACGGTAAAAGATGACATTTACTAAAGCTCATACTATCAGCTGTACTTTTCATGTAACAACATATTTAATCCTTACAACCACCACAGGATGTAGGTATTAATATTATCCTCATTTTATAGCTTTAAAAAAATTAAGGCTTAAAGGAATTAAGTAACTTGCTCAAGGTCACATGGTAGATTTTTAAAAGTGCAATCTTTGCAGCTCCTCCCATCAATAGGTGGAGTCTATTTCCCCACCACTAGAGTCTGGGCTCACACTGTGATTTGCTTTAAGCAACAGAATGTAGCGGAAGCAATGCTGTGGGACTTCTGAGCCTCGGCCTCAGGAAAACTTGCAGCTTCTGCTGTCACCTTCTTTGGAAAATATATGAATCATGGGAATAAGCCTGGGATAAAAGACTACATGGAGAGGCTTGGGTGTCATTCCAGCTTCCCTGCTAGGCTCCCTGATGAGTGACCAAGGACATCTGGGACCAGCCAGACCGATCAATCTACCAGAGCAGATCTTCTGTCCTAACAAATGTCTCCTTTAGACAAAGGGACATGGACTCTTGATTCTTCTTTTCTTGTATCACTAACTTCCACTTGAAATGTATCTGAATCTTACCATCCACCAAGATCCAGTTAAAGGGGGTCTGGTACAAGTACAGTGCTTCTCAAACTCAGCCACGGACACACCTGAAGGGCAGAGGAGAGTGACCATAAATCAAAGTATGACAGAACCCAGGGGGAACCACCTAAAGCACCATGCTACAAGAAATTTATTTTTAGAATTCATTCATACTTGCATTCTATCCTATAACATACTACACCTGTATATGTTTTAATAGAAAAAAAAGTTTTACTTTTGAATACATCATTAAGATACTCCAGGAAGATGTGCCATGCTTACTTTGCAGCTTCTAATACCTCCTGGTATATATTGGCATTCTGATAACCCTAGTTTGAACAGTGAGGTCTAGTGGAAAAACACAGACTTTGGTGTCAAAAATATCTAATTTTGTGAAGATAAAATGGACAACTCAAGACCTAATTTTTGCTCCAAAGATATTTCCTATGACAAGTATGAAGAACAAATGTAATTATTAGCACCAAACTATATATAAAGTTCTAAACACAAGTAAGACTAAAATCTCTGTTATTATGCAGCTGTTACAAAATAATCTGTATTTTCAAGGTGTTTTTGCAATACTGTTTATTAGAAGCATTTCAGACAGACTAGTCTGGCAGTTGCAAAGAAGACTGGTCTGAGGAACAAGACACAAGAATAGTTATAAACTGCGATGACAACTCAGGGAAGAGATGAGGAAATCTTAAGGCAGTGAAAGACAGGTCTATGAATTTAACAAATAGTTAAGAAATATTTAGGAGATAAAATTGGTAGAAACTGGTGACTGAGTGAATGTGGAGGGTTAAGGAGAAGAGGAAAGTTTGTGGATTGCTTGATAGTGCCAACAAACGAAATTGTGAACTGAAAAAGTAGGCTTTACCCAAATAAAGACCCACCATGATGCAAACCTGATAGCCCAGGAGAAAGGTCTGAGCAAATGTGGGAGGCAATAACAGATAAGCCACACACAAAGGATTGCAAACCTGAAGCCTAGGAGAAAGGACTGCGCAAATTTGGAAGGCATCAACACGCAAATGACAGATGAACCCGTGGAATGAATGAGCGTACCCAGGGAGAGTGGGTAAGAAGGACAAAGGCCCACCAACAAAACTCCAGGAATGGCAGTAGTCAGAGGGTGGGCCGAGAAGAAGAAACCTCAGAAGCTGTGAAAACCAACTCAGTCCATCTTTCACTATTCTAAAGTTAGGATCTAATCTGTGGAATTTCACATATTTTTTTTTTTTGAAATTGTTTATTTTCCATCAACCTTATTTCCATTCTGTTAAGAGTTTGCAGAAGAACAGCTTAGGACCACTCAGTGGTTGTTCCTACCCATTCGGTGGCCTGAGCAGTGGGGGCTGCAGACCAGTCTTCAGGAGGAAACTGCTGAATGGGCACAGAAGGCACCTGCGCCTTCAGACCAGTCTGCGACCTCAGGCTGAGCAGCAGGGAACTCAGGAGCTGGAGCAGTCCATTCACCCTGAAATTCCTCTTTGGTCACAGCCTTTTCAGCAGCAGCCTGCTCTTCCTTTTCAATCTCTCCAGGATCCCTGCAGAAGTAAAGATCAGGCATGCCCTCCCATGGGTGTTCATGGGAGATGGTGCCACACATGCATAGTACTTCTCGGGCCAGCACCCACCACATCAGGCCCACTGAGTGAGCCCCCTTGTTGTTGCAAGGGATGGCAATGTCCACATAGCGCAGAGGAGAGTCTGTGTTGCACAGAGCGATGGTGGGCAGGTTAATATAAGTCGCCTCTGTGAGAGGCTGGTGGTCAGCCCAGGGATCAGTGACCACCAGAAGTCTCGGCTCCTGGAAGGCGGCCTAGATCTGGTTGGTGAAGGTTCCAGGAGTGAAGTGACCGGCAATAGGAGTAGCTCCAGTGGCAGCAGCAAACTTCAGCACAGCTCGCTGGCCAGTATTCCTGGACGATATGACACTGACATCAGCAGGGTTTTCAATGGCAACAATGGCACGAGCTGCCAACAGAAGCTTCTCCCAGGTTCTCTTCAGATTTATGATGTAGATGCCATCACTCTTCCTTTTGTAGATGTACTGTTCCATTTGGAAGTCAAGGTTGGTGCCACCCAAGTGGGTTCCCGCTGCAAGAAACTTGAGGACATCCTCCTCCTTCATTTGCAGGACATCAAGGGCTCTGGACATTGCAAAAGTTTCCCTTTAAGTTATGTGGGAACCGAGAACAACGCCGTATGGACCCCTCTCTGGGTAGCGCGGAAAGAGGAATTTCACAAATTTCTAAGCAGTTAACTTTCACTGGCTTTTCCCTCTCTCCCCATTTCCTAGTAAGAAGTTCCAACTATTGGACTGTGAAGTCCTTGAGAGGAAAGGACTAGAAGCCTTATTTGGCTTCCTGTCACTAACACCCAACATAAGGCCTGGTACACATATGCTTGTAGTATGAACCTGGCTGAACAGAGAAAAATGAAAAATTTCCCATTTATCAAGACAAAGCGTTCATGGAACTTCTAGAACCTAAGGTTGCTACCTGCTCAGACCAGAGCAACACAGAACCTGGAGAAAGCAAAAGCAGAAAGTGGGCAGACTTATGCAATGCTGGCGGAAATAGAAAATGATGCAGCCGCTTTTGAAAACAGTTCGGCAATTTCTCAAAATTTTAAACAGAGTTACCATATAACCCAGCAATCCACTCCAAAGTACATAACCAACAGAATTGAAAGTATGTCCAGACATTCATAATACCCAAAGAGTGGAAACAACCCAAATCTCCATCAACTGATGAATGGATAAGCAAATGTGGTATTTCCATATAATGGAATGCTATTTGGCAATAAAAAGGAATGAAGGACTGACACATGGTACAACATGGATGAGCCTTGAAAACATATGCTAACTAAAAGGAGCCAGACACAAAAGGCCACATACTGTGTTCCATTTATATGAAAGGTTCAGAATAGGCAAATCCATAGACAGAAAGTAGATTAATGGTTGCCAAGAGCTGGGGGAGGTAGGAATGAGGAATGATTGCTAATAGGTATGGGATTTCTTTGGGGGTAATAAAAATATTTTGGTCTTCAATAGTGGTGATGGTTATACAACTTTGTGAGTATACTAAAAACCATTAAATTATACACTTTTAAAGGGTGAATTTTATGGTATATAAATTATATCTCAATTTTTTAAAGGGAGGTAGAAACACAGGAAGGCTAGAATCTATGCTGCATCCTAGATTTCTTCTACTTTACATGATTCCAACACAAGGATACGAACAAATCACTTAACTGAACAGTATTGGTAACAGTAACCACAAAAATTTTTAAACAATTTGTAATACAAGTTGATTACTTCACAGAGATGTCAAAATATCTCATGCAAAAATGGGAGTTTCCAAGTCTTTTTCCCAGGGAAAGGAAGAGAATTTTCATATAATGCTAGTAACCCTGTGTGAAGGTAGCTAATCCACATTTCTAGTTAAGAGGCAGTTAATCTATTGTTCTAGTTAAGGGAGATTCAATCCTAGTACAGGGAATCCCAACAGAACTTTGACTTGGTTGAAGCAGCCACTCATGAGCTGGAGCGGCTCCTCCTACCAAAGCCCCAGACAAGGCTTTAATCCATACCAGAGTAGGGCACAGGAAGCCCACGAGCTCACACACCTGGCAGCAACCTCTTTCCTTGGGAAGTAATTTTCCTCCTCACTATTAAGCAAAAGCTTAACTGACTGAATGAGATATATGATACAGTCTTCATATAAAAATATTTTTAATATATATTTTTAATTACAGATATAAACAAATGCAATTCTTTATAATAATCATGGAGAAAAAGGGCTTAGGCACACATGTACTTTCTACAACTTTAACAATTAATACCAAATATAATCAAAAGGAGATAAACTACTGCCTCAGTGGGAATGGTGTTCCTAATACTGTTGCAAAACTCTTAATCTCCTAAACTGGAAAAAGAGAAGGTACATATAATGCAAATTACAAACATTACCGTCAAATCATGCATTTCAGTGAAAATAGATGGAAATCAGGTTTTTTACCACCTCTTCCCCCACCCGAAGAATGTTAGACACACTTGATGGAAACCTTGCTTACTCCAAATAGCTCACCAAGTGAAGGTTACTCTGAAATACTTCAAATTCCACAAGCACTCAGGACTGCAAAACTGTGGGAAGAGAATGTTCCAAGCACAGGCCAATGGACAGAAAGTACAGATGGAATAATCCCTGATACTTGATGACTACCTAAGGAAGTTTAAACTGAAAACTGTATATATTGTTCTGAAGACATTAACCAAGCTTCAGTTCTGAAATATGTTCAGAATACTTAACATATTTTATAAGTCTAAACTATAAATAAAAGGTGTTTGTTGATAAAGATAACTAAATAATTTCCTTCACCTAGTTTTGGATATACAGGGTGGGCAAAGACAGATTTATAGTTGTACGAGAAACACAGTTTATTCTTATATTATTATTTGTTAATTATTGTATTCTTTTCCATATGAACTGTAAACCTACTTTTGCCCCACCCTGTAAAAATCTCTATCACATTTCAGACTTAGTTTTTCTATTTTTTTGTTTTTTATGCCAACAACTTTATTTCTTATTGTGTGTTTGTTGCCTATGCTAATGAGAACACAAGTTATACCAAATCAGAATTTTTATTATCATTTTGGGGATGTCACCACCCTTTTAATTCTGTTCATATTTTCACAAGACAACTTTAATCCAGTGATCAAAGATTCATTAGCTTGTAAACAAACTGTTTCTCAGGTAAACTAAATTGCCCCACATCAGAAACTTAAGCAAATAAATAAGTACAAAAAAGGCAGAGATTACAAATTAGGGCAGACAAATCTGTTTCTAGCCTCATGCCGGTAAAGAGCATTCTATCAATATAGTGAAATGCTAATCTCCCAATTAACAACCTAATTAGGTAATTATGGCTTTGCAGAGGGATGCCGAAATGAAATATGACAACATGGTCACCTCTTTATATGGCACCTGTGGGCCTTTTCAGCTGTCACTGCAAAGAGTGCAATATCAATTTGAACAGATGACAAAGTGCTGTCATTTTT